TACAATGTTTCATATTTAATGAAATACGCATTGGTCTCAGGATTCGTCTTCTCTTGAGCATTTTTCGAATTTCTCCGACGCTTTCTTGGATAGGGTATAAAAATTAGGGCCCGTAATTGTCCTTAATAACTCATTGATGCTCTTTGAATATTTTCGTGCATGTCAAGTGTTTGTACTGACCTGACATATGCACGACTTTTAATAAAAATCATGCGGAGTTTAGGTGAACTCAGTGGATACAGAAATTTCTGGAAACTATGAAAAAAGTGAATATATTCCTTTGAAAGAAGAAAAATATGGCAACATATTGCTGTATTTTATCCAGTTTATGTTCACATTTTCTTTACATTTTTGTTGCACGAAATAAAAATTGAAGTCAGGCAGAACTCAAATATAAACAAAACTTGTTATTAAACCATTTTGTGGTAAATATTTTCAGAAAATTTCAAATAAATACCATACTAAAATAAAGAAACCTGACCTTTAAATACCACATTACATTACATTTGAATTGCACTTCATAACTTACAGCACATATGTACACACATATTCATATGACCAATTTACATTGTAATAAATGAAAATTACCGATAAAGGAAATATCAACAAGTTTCTTAATTAATCCCACTTCATTTCCGATGAAAAATGGAAAATCCCCCACAAGAAATTCAACTCGTTGTGAATAAGTACTTGTTGTCGATTAAATTGCCGCTGAAGCCACAATTATCGACTTTCATTGAAAATTTTACCGCCACATATTTTTTGATACTTTCCGCAATGCACTCAGCAAATGTAAAGTGAAAACGTTAAGTGTAATTGTAAGTGTATGTATGTATGTGGTGTATCCCTTTAAGGATTTAATTTCTTTTTACCCAAAGGTAATGTTGTTGTTATCCTTGAAACGTTTGTACAACGGATCAATAACCAAAACCCAGAAGGACATGCACACACATTCATTAAATTATAAGGGCATATGTGTGTGTTTGAGCATTTGTAATGTGATGTGGTAAAGGAAGGAAAATGTTAAATTATTTTATTCCTTACAACACCCGTATTTTTGGATGTATTGGTGTTTTATATTCACACATATACATAGCAAAAGTTTAAATTATTAATTATCTTATATCTTAAATTATTTCATCGATCCACATCTAAATATTGTAATTACTTAAAGAGGCATCATTTATTTTTGTTTTGTAAATAAGCAAAACTATCGTCGTAAATATTCTATAAACCCGAAACAGTTTTGACTTGATTGCACGAATCCTGAAACCTCCCAACAGTGCACAGCGACGGTTTACCGAAATGTGTCCTTTGTTCATATTTGTTTATTTAAAAAAATGAAAAAAATAGATCATTCTGATTACAAAAACAAGTAAGCAAAGGCTATAGTCGTGCGGGGCCGGCTATGCTATACCCTACAACACTACAATATGTTAGAAGCCCCCTTATGTCCAAATCCATATTGGAAGATTTCGAAAAGAAGATTTTGAAATTAGGATTTTGACTAGGGACATTTGCCCAATATTTATGCGCTCCGTCGGGCTGTTAGTTGTTGTGGTCCATTTTACAGCTAAATATAATCCAATGGTCCTCCAAAATGCTAGAATTCTTCCCTGTCCTTAACTCCCTTCACAGGCGTGTCGATTGGCTTCAATTGTGTGATCGGAAGAACATTTCTGTTTTTGGTTAATTTGAACCCCTAAATATTTTGCAATCATCTCCAAAAGCAAGAAGCCCCTCTGTATCTCCAAATTTAGACTCATCTATATGATTTGCTTGTCTACGATATTTGGCTATATTCGTCAACGAAATCAGCATAAAAAAGTCAGAAGTTCGCCTCTAAGTAATGCTGGTATTTTTTCACACAGAATTAGTGCTCCATTCTACCCGCTGTTCTAAACTCTAACTTTATGCGAGATTTCGTGTCCTTTGGTTTCTATCTGTGACCTTTATAACGGCTGCAAAATCAGGAAAATTTTTAGTTGTTGGTCCATTTCAACCCCTAATATATTGCAGAAGCCATACTGGAGATATAAGGATTCTAACTAACATCCCCTTCCTTTGTATATACACATTGTATATATTTCGCTATATATAACCGATACATTTACTATTGGCATCTACGTATCGGTCAGAATTGACCTGTTCGTCTATTTGTGATTTCGCCGGGATTAAAAATATTCGCGGTTTAATAGAAAATTTGACTTTTTTAACACAAATGTTGTGGCCTATTTCACCCCATGCTATCTTTAGCTTTGATTGGTCTATAATTACGACCTGTAGAACAACTGCAAAATCAGGAAATTTTTCAGTTTTTGGTCCATTTCAACCCCTAAATATTTTGCGATCATCTCCAAAAGGTTCTATTCTGACCCTAGCCCCACCTCCATTCTAAATTTCGTGAAATTAACATGGACAGACGGGCGGACGGACATACATAGCTAGATCGACTCAGTTCGGCGAGATAGGTAGATCCATATATACTTTCCTATGCGGGAAACCAATATTTCGTGGTGTTACATAATTTTTGGCCCAATCAAACTTATAATACCCCCAACACATAGTGTTGTAGGGTATATCCAAATCTTAACCGTTCTCGATAAAATTTGCCAAAGGTATTTCCGAGCTTTATAAGATATCTGGTACCAAATACCAATTTTATCCGAATTCGATGTTCTTGCTTCTAAACTGGATTCGGTCAGATACACCAAAATTCTGGACTTTTGGACAGATATTGGGCATTAACCCAAAATCGGTTGAAGATATATGGGAGGTATATCCAAATCTGATCCGATTCTCACCAATTTCAATAGGGTTCGTCCTTAGGCCAAACAAATATTGTTTGCAAAATTTAATCTTAATCGGAAAAAAATTCGACATTCATTTTGTTCACAAGAATACATAGACAGACCATCTGACGGGCATAAATCGGCTCAGAAAGCCATATTAAATATATCGGATATAAATAACGAAATATATACAATGTGTATATACAAAGGAAGGGGATGTTAACTAGAATGCTTATATCTCAAGAATGGCTGGACCTATTTTGACAAATTTTATCAATTCAGAATGCCCTCTTGGTATAAAAGTATAAAATCTAAAAAAATCGCATAAAAATATGCCAATAATGACGTTAATGTAGATTTTGTAGTATTTTGTGACATATTTTTTATTTTTGAATTTTTTTATCGCATGCTATTTTTTCAATTTGACTTATAATATTGAAGTGTATATTTTGTAATATTTTTTCACCTTACAACACAGGTTGGGGTTATTATATACAGGTTGCAATTATCGTCCGATCCTCACGAAAACTATCATAAGGGTAGGATTAGGCTCAGAAGGGTTAGGGCTATTGTTTTTAAAGATGCCCGCAATATATTTAGGTTAAAATGGACCAACAATTAAAAATGTTTCTGATTTTACAGCCATTGTAAAGGTCACAAATGGGAAGCAAAGGACACGAAATCGTGGATGAAGTTAGATTTTAGGACAGCGGGTTAAATGAACCACTACTTTTGTGTGAAAAAATACCAACATTTCCATTCTACCGATACGCTGAAAATAATTTACAGGCGAAATCCAAAATACACAAAAGGCGAACTTCTGGCTTTTTATGCTGATTTCGTTGACGAATATAGCCAAATATCGTAGAGAAGATTAGTCTAAATTTGGCAATACAGTGGAACCTCTTGCATTTGGAGATGATAGTGAAATGTTTAGGGGTTCAAATGAACCAAAAACAGAAAATTTTTCCTGATCACACAATTGAAACCAATCGACACGGAATTTTAGCCTGAGAAGAACTAAATGGGTTAAGGACAAGGAAGAAGAAATGGACCAAAACAACTAATAACATGACGGAGTACGCAAATATTGGGCAAATCTGGACAATAGATAATATCTGTTACCGGTGCGCTTTTGAATATGCTTAGTAGTGTAGGGTATCATATAGTCTGCCCCGCCCAACATCTGACTTTACCTTACTAGTCAGTTATGGATATGGTACAAACTCATTTATACCATTTTCAAATTACCTTAAGATCGACAAATATAATGCAATGTACTAAATTTGATGAATATCTGACACTTTTTTCCCATTATTCAAAATTTTGAGAGGGACCAGAAGAACTGACTCGTTAAGTCCCATAATGTTCAGATATATGAAGTTTAAAGTTAAGAGAAACCTGTAAACTAAACCTAGAAACTGTCAATTACAAAACAGAAAACTAGCCATTCTTGATGAGGGGCCTAGTCTGTGTATAAAAATAAAATTGAATTTTTTTATATTCGTAAAATTACAATTGTTGTAAAATCTTATGCGAAGCAATGTACTTTATAATGTAATGTCTTCTCACTAGCGAAAACATAATTCCATCCACAATTTTAAACAGACAGAGTTTTAAACGGTCCTTTAACTACATATCTAATTCGCATCAGGCTCTCACAAACTATTTATGCTTTTTTTCTCCCCATTGTTTCCCAATTCTGTTGTCTTGATACAATTTGATAGACTTTTCCGTTAACCTAAATTATTATTGAATATGAAGAATATATATTCATTCTCGTTTTGATACACACGCGATGTGATTTTGACTGGTGTTCCATAGTATGACACAGCCTTAAAGTATGCTTTATATTTATGGAATATGTCTTCTGAATAAATACATACTATATTAGAATATTGAAAACATACTTTTTGGCTGAGCGAAAAATTGTAACAAAATGACCAACCGAATAATAGTTTCCAGATGAATTTATTACAAAAATGTATATTTTAACTTATCACAATATTTTTGTGACAACTTTAAAAAATACATTAAAATTTTTTTTCATTTGCCTTGCACACATTGAAGAAATCGATACCACATCAATTTGATTTGATTTACATTAATTAAAATTAATGTCCTTTCTCCTACAACTCTGAACTAAAATATGCTTTTGTTTTAATATGTGCGTTTTGCCCATTTCTTCTTTACCATTTATCTTTTCAGGAGGCCAAGGAGACGTTGTGCGATCCCGAGAAACGTGCCAATTATGATAAATGGCGCAACAGTGGCATTGCCATGAGTTACAAGAATTGGTTGGGTATGAAGGAACACGTCGGACAGGTGAGAAGATACACTATAGCGGAGAAAGTGGATAAAGAGGTATGGTAAAACTAAATGGGACAGAGTAAAGCAAACAAAAGAGAAAACAAAAAATAATGTTATTCTTTTCAATATGGAATGTATCCATTTCCCCCCAGCACCAGATGCATCAATCAAACTCCAAAGCAATAAGTGTACCCGTCTGTTATTATGTGTGTGTGACTCGTTTTCTTTCATATTTTTATATTTAAAATGTCAGCTGTTCCTCCATCTCTCTTTTGTGTGTCTCTAGTTATGTGCGTCCTTTCAATTTTCCATATTCATATTTTTTTTAATTGGATCAATGATTTAAAGATAGGTCTTCTTGCAATAGTCACTTACCAAAATTAAAAAAAAATTGTCTAAACAGAGATATAAGAGATTTTTTAAAGCTTACAATAACTAGACTGATTGCTGCTTTATTGGAAGATACAATTGACTACTTCTGATGTTTTATTAGACGATAAAGTAGAATACTTATTTCCAGATCAGTTGGTCGTCACATAGACAACGATATAGTCTTCTTATAGAAGAATATTTGATTCTCTCGAGGATGATGGACTTTTCTTCACATAAAAAACTAGTTTTATATGAGAAGACTTCCTGGTCTTCAATGTGAAAACTATATAGTATTCTTTTAGAGGTCCTCTATATAAAGACCAACTCGTCTTATATTTTAAAACAAGTAAAATAGTATCAGTCGGTTTTGCCGACAGATTTGTACAACCAGCCTTGAGTTATAATTATTCAAACTTTTGGCCCTTTATGGGGGAGTTTCCGAAGCATTTGTCCAATATTGATCCAAGACTGATGTAAATATTGCAACGTGCAGATTTGGATTATATCGACTACTTCCTATACTTTATATGAGATAATTGCACATTTTTGGAAAATGTGGACATATGCGTGAGGTAACAGATATAGCGCACCGAAGTATTTCATGTTCGTACTTCATCTAATGCAGTTACAATTATTGCTATGCGCAAAATTTGAAGACAGTCTAATATTGTTTTGTTTTTCAAAAATTTTGAACCCTATGTGAGGGGAGGTAGCAGAAGGAATGGTCCGATATCTACCATCTTTCTAACAGATCTTGTGATGATGGAAATATTGAGATGTACCAAGTCTGAATGAATCGGATATTAATTTCGTGTTTTATACGCTTCATTAATATTCAAAATGTTGATCCTTTGTAGGGGAGGTACCAGAAGGAGTGGACTGATATATCCCATCTGAAAATATTGTGATGTGTGTAATTTGAAGAGAATCGGATGCTTATTTCGGATTTTATGATCGTTTAGGTTATTCAAAACTTTGATCCGTTGTGGGGGAGGTACCAGAAGGAATGGTTCGATCCCTACCATCTTTATAACAGATCTTGCGTTTATAGAAATATTGTGATGTGTCCAATCTGAATTGAATCGGACGTTAATTTCGTGTTTTATGATCTTCATGGATATTCAAAATTTTTTCCCTTTATGGGGCAGGTACCAGTAGGATGGTATCCCATCTTCACACCAGGCCTTGAATTAATAAAAATATTGTGATGTGTGTAATTTGAAGACAATCGAACACTTACATCACATTTTATAAGAGTTATAATTATGCAAATCCATTTTCGAATCCTTACCTAGCACTGGTGCAAATATTAGGATTCGCAAAGTTAGAGAAAAATCGGATTATCCTTTCTCTTTTTGTGTAGTAAATTATTTAGTTTCAAAATTTTGACATTAAGTGTGGGGGTACCACAAGGAGTGGGCCGATATTGCCCGTCTCCGAACTCGATCTAAGTTTGAAAATAATATTACGATATACCAAGTTTGGATCAAATTGTATACTGCCTTCGAGAGTTATCGTGCATACCTGCCAGCCAGACAGACGGACGGACATCGCTAGATCGACTCCAAATGTCCTGAAACGGATTTGGTCCAAAGAGACCTAGGTTATACAGCGTTAATTCGATGTGGCACGTTTTGGCCGTATCAAATGATGTATACCCTCTCCAGCCATATGGCTGAGGGTATAATTTATATAATTCAGAGATGGGCATAATGCACTGTATTTTTAGTGCACTAATCATTTCACTATCACTGTTCATTTAGTGGTAGTGCAATTTTTAATTCCACTACCACTAAAGGGTTAGTGGTAGTGAAAAATAAATTGCACTACCACTAACCCTTTAGTGATATTTAAAAAAAAATTGCACTACCACTAAATTTTAGTGGTAGTGAAATTTCAATAGCACTACCACTAAATTTAGTGGTATTTAAAAAAACTTGCACTAAATTAGTGGTATTTCATAAAAAATAGCACTAAATTAGTGCTATTTAGAAAAGTAATCAAATTTTATTGATATGTACTATATATTCTGGATTGTTGTTCCCTACTCACTTCAATAAACTTCATTATACCTGGTATAATACTTATATACATAGTGATTTTTTTGGTTTCGCTAAAATTTAGTGGTAGTGCAAATTTTTTTTGAAAAATCACTAAATTTAGTGGTAGTGCTATTAAAATTTCACTACCACTAAAATATAGTGGTAGTGCAATTTTTTTTTAAATATCACTAAAGGGTTAGTGGTAGTGCAATTTATTTTTCACTACCACTAACCCTTTAGTGGTAGTGGAATTAAAAATTGCACTACCACTAATTATTTAATTCTTAGTGCACTAAAAATTTAGTGCAATATGCCCAACCCTGATATAATTGGTCTTATACATAAAGAGCACCTGGTCTCCTTTTATCGGAACTGGTCTTCTTTGTTATTCTACAGAAAGTACAACTAGTTCTCGGTAAAAAGCCAACTGCCCTACTTTAAAAAGACAAACTGGACTTCTTTGAGAAGACCAATTGGACTTCTTTGAAAATGCCAATTGGTCTTCTTTCAGAGGACCAACTTTTATTCTTTGGGACTACCAACTGATCTTCCTTAAAAATATGAACAGATCTTCTTTAAAAAAACCCACTGGTCTTTCTTCTTTGGGAAGAAAAAGAGCTACAGCTTGCCTCTAAAAAATTTAAATAAATTTAAAAAATTTAGCGTGAGGGTCCTCATTAATTCGAACGGGTGAGAATTTTTTTATTGTTCAATATGTTATGGTACTTTAATTGAGAGACGCTAAAGAAGTAAAGCTTTGAAATGTTCATTTTCGGAACTTGGGTAGCATGAGGTGAGATTTTCGGTATCTCGTACTTTAGAGGTACGAATATTGTTATAGGTACAACAAATAGGTTCCGCATTGTTATCAATATGAGCTAAAACTTTGAAATTGTGGAGCGCAGGCATTTTTTTTAATTTCCGGTACAAAAAGTGTAAAGAGTTCATTGAAACAGTACTTTAAAAATATAAAAACAGCTACAAAATGGAACGACATTTATGTGGAGCGATCGTTAAAAGCTTGTGGGGTGAGATCTTCGATAATCTGTATTTTAATGACACGAAATCGCATAATTAGTCCTATCATTCCAGTTCTAAGCCGATGTATCAGTCCAGGGTCTAAAGAAACTGCTAGGATATGGTGGGGTAATCATAAAATTTTGCTTATATTTCACTCTTGATACGAGACATTAGATGAGGTGGTGTTTTTTTTTCTAAATTTTATTTAATGAAAGCAAAAAATGTCGGTAATAGTCTCACATTTGAGAATAAGTATAGATTTGTTTGAATTTGTCACCTTTGGCACGAATTACGCCATTCAAACGGCCTATGAAACCGTCACACGCTGTCCGAATATTGCTCTGCAGTATTTTGGCCCATTCCCGGCGAAGCGCTTGCATGAGGTGATCGATTGGTGACAATTGTGAGCTGGAAATGAAGCGAGGAACCTCATTTTGTAACCATTCATGGGCGGCGAGTGTTGAGTGCGATGGTGCTGAGTCCTGTTGGAATGTCCAATGTCTGCGGCCAAATTGCTTGCGTGCCCAAGGCTTTAATACACCCTGAAGAATTTTTTTGCGATAATATTCGACATTTATTCTAATGACATAATAGATCTCTCCATGAGCGGAGAGCGACCACCGGCTGTTATGGCGGCCCACACCATCACCATGGCGGCGCTTGAGTTCTAGTGGCCAACCGAAGGTGCACATTTTCAGCTGACCTCTTTGGCAAGTAAACACGATCATTTTGTTTGTTTACAAACTGCTGGAAAACGAATGTTTTCTCATCGGAGAAACCCAAATTCGACAGTTCACCACTTTCGGCCAAGCGAAGCAACTCTTTAACTCTTTTGAGTCTATTTTCTTTTTGTTGCGGTGTAAGTTCTAACAGTTTTTGGAATTTCAATTGCTTTACCCCGAGCTTTTTTTTTCAATATTTGGCGAATGGAATATTGCGATATGTTCAGCTCACGAGCCATTTTTCGGCCACTGCGACGCAGATTTCGATCAGGTCGCTTCTTTATTTTTCGAACCATTTCTTCTGATGTTGCTGTTTTCTTCCGTCCACTCCTTTGACGTCGGCCTATGCTACCAGTATCACGGTAACGAGCAATGGTAAGAGACACAAAATATTTATTCACATTTAAATGCTGGAGTGCTCTAACGATAGCCACCTGTGGTTTTCCAGCCAAATATAAAGAAATCACACTATCACGCTTGAATTCCATTACGAATAACTTTTTTCTGTAAAATTCTCACTAAATTTGTTTGTAGACAAAACGTTTGTAAACAATATAATGAGCTGTTACTGGAATAATTTTAACAGCTGTCGGACGAGTGGTTTTGGAATAGCAGTCTGAAGGTTGTTGCAGTTTTTTTTTATCTTATCCTGTATTGACATCTTTTAAGCGATTTTTTTTAGATTTTATTCTTTTATAGCAAAGAGGACACTACGAGTTAAAAAAAATTGTCAAAATCGGTCAAGCCATTCATGAGAAAGCATTCTAAATAACATCCCTTTCCTTTGTATATACACATTGTATATATTTCGCTAAATATATCGGATATATTTACTATTTGATCATTTCTCCAACAAGCAACTGCAAAATCAGGAAATGTTTCAGTTTTTTGTCCATTT